CCAGTTTTCAAATCGAGTAAATCATCGGTGTGGCCGATTCAGGTCATACTAAATGAGCTGCCAATACATCTGCGGTTTCGAAATGTGATCGTTGGCGGACTGTGGTTTGCAAAGGTACACCCACCAGCACATCTCTCCATGAGGACGTTTGTATAAGAGTTTGTCAAGATTGGATCCATCATCTGGAGTCATGCTGGGGATCCCATTATTTCAAGAGTCTTCGCAGTTTGCTGCTCAGTGGACTCGCCTGCACGAGCAGTGCTGCTCAACATGAAGCAGTTCAATGGTTACTTCGGCTGCTCTGGAGGAGGGGACACTCGTGAATGGTATGTACAAATTTCTTTGGAATAGAGTTAGCTTTTATTTTTCTCATTAATGGGTATGACTTAAGAACATCCTTTGTGAAGTGCAGATTTCATATCTTAAAGGGACCATGAAGGCAATTTAATTTTTTTAATAAATAAGGTGTTTTCGGAAGCATTGGGGTCCTGGCATGCCAAACAATTTTTTCTAGAACGTTGTGACTCTTATTTCTGGACCTGAAAATAAATTTGCGAAACCGAAACAAACATTCAGATTTCTTCCTTTTTTCGCCTCTGGAAAGAGAAGTGACGTCAGGGAGCACTGTCGGCATCGGTAGGATTTAGTGCCCACTCAGTGTGGTTCCTGTGGTTCGCTCTAGTGCACGGCGGTCTGTGAAGAAAACCTGGAAGAAATGGACGACAACGCCGCGCTCGCAAACGAGTTTGAGCTCCCAATCAGCGACCTCACGCCGACTGAACGGGAGATGCTGCTAAGGACGCAGAACTCTGGATTGGCGACCGATGCAGCAATGCTGCGCATTGCTGCATCGGTCGGCAGTTTATGCAAATTAACGTCGCCCGATCGACCGCATGTCTTTAGCCGACCTTTCGCACAACCTACTACTGCACATAAACGTGGCATGATTGGTGAGAGTTTGCAAAGCGAACACGAGACGACGCACAAAACCAAAACCAAAAATCCGCCGCCCCCGGCGCTCGTACCTTTTTTTTTTTTTTTGTCCATGGTTGCTTGATGCTTGTTACACGCCCGAGGTAGCAGTGCGGGATGCGTTCAACCAGTGACAAACGGAGGGATCGCTTCAGGTTATGCTTTTATACACGGTATGAAACCTATTAATTCCCAACTACAACTTCAAAATATTATCCAACGTTCAAATAAACTTTTTTCATCACATCTGACCACCGAAATCGAAACCAAGAGCGCGTCTATCGTTTGAACCAATCGCCAGACGAGGAGCTTGTTGTCGTCACGCTTCGGCACACTTTAGTTCACCTTTCTGCCGCCGCCTCGGTGGGGTCTCAGGCATCGTTCCCGGCGCTATTATTACCGCGCCTGTTTGCTCGATTGGTGCGGCACCCAAACTTCTGTTCGGGCTAGAACTTGGTCAACAGTATCTGAGGCGTGCCTGACATCCATTTCAATCGTCGAATAAAACTTCGAAACTGCCTTCATTGTCCCTTGAAGGTCTTACTTAATGTTTCCTGATCATTTTCTGATAATTTTTATCTCTCCTCTAGAATAGGTTTACTGTGTAAAGGAACTCTCAAAAGCTTTTATGCATGGCTCAAACGCAGCCCCACACTCGGCTCGAAAAATACATCACAATAAACAGCCAACAAGATTCCTGTGCCTCAAAAGATAAAAAATAAGAAAAATTTGTGGAGTAGTAGTACCTGAAGTGACAGCGTCTTAACATCATTTTCAATCTTTTATAGCGATTACAGGTTCGATTCCCACAAACAGTTAATTTATTTTGTCTTGGTTTTGCAAATGCAAAGCAACCCAAAGGACACTCACAAAAGCACACGTGAGACATGGACAGCGTTCAACTCGCAACAGGTTTATTTCCACTTTCGGGGTGATATTCACGGCTCCCAAGTGAAATTGCATTTCATCGGCAATATATAAGTAACGGTTGTAAAGGCTAATTCCCACATTTGTGCTTTGAGAGTGAGTGACTGCATTATGATTGCCGAAGACAAGATGCTGGGTGGATCGCTATGACACATAGTGGTCTGGAGCACAATGCAGCACAGTCAGTGTCAATGTGTGAACCAACTGGAGGTGTACTTTAGCACTCACTGATTGGCCATATTCGTTTCAAGCTCGGTCTTGTTGCCATTGAGAAGAATGACATGTGAATCAGGCATGCTCAGGCCAGATTAACACACATTCACTCATTCAATCACATGGCACCTTTATAATTCAGAAAGCATTAGTTGGGCACACTAATTTCTCCGTTTTGCAAGCTCTCCTTCAAGTAGCTTGCCTACTTGATTGTGATGTATCCAATGTCATGTAGAGCCATTGGTGAGCTCTGCCTAAGCCTATGTTCTTACTATAAAATACTGGGCGAGCACCCACTCAAAGTTTAGAGATAATCGCAAAAAATGGAGGATGGGTGCCTGTCCGGTCATCAATTTTTCATATGAATGTACTTTGCATATTTTCTCAGATCTTACAAATTTGGGTATGGGCACTTAGTGTGGTATGGGCGGATGCACGGCATACTATGGTAGGTGGAGCAACTTGGCTGTATGCGAGTGCCTCAGCCAAAACCTAACGCTACGAAAAGAGTTTCCTCGGTGGCTGTGCCACAACGCAGACCACTAATCCGTTCAACTTTTTCGTGCAGATGTTCTCCTTCATTCTCCTCCGCGCTTTGCTCCCGGTGCTGGCTTCCTCGGACGGCACGACAGCATGCACAATCTGGAACAACGAAGACCAAGCAAGCAGCTACCACCCGGCCATCAGCAACGCCTCGTCACGTCCGGCAGACTCGTCACTCAAGCAATTGATCCTCGGCCAAGTGTGGAGGGCCCCATCGTCATCAACAGCCGCTTACCCGCCCACTATAAACCAGCCGACGCAGCCGATGTCGCTCTGTGGGCTCGGTGGCTGTGCCACAACGCAGACCACTAATCCGTTCAACTTTTTCGTGCAGATGTTCTCCTTCATTCTCCTCCGCGCTTTGCTCCCGGTGCTGGCTTCCTCGGACGGCACGACAGCATGCACAATCTGGAACAACGAAGACCAAGCAAGCAGCTACCACCCGGCCATCAGCAACGCCTCGTCACGTCCGGCAGACTCGTCACTCAAGCAATTGATCCTCGGCCAAGTGTGGAGGGCCCCATCGTCATCAACAGCCGCTTACCCGCCCACTATAAACCAGCCGACGCAGCCGATGTCGCTCTGTGGGCTCGGTGGCTGTGCCACAACGCAGACCACTAATCCGTTCAACTTTTTCGTGCAGATGTTCTCCTTCATTCTCCTCCGCGCTTTGCTCCCGGTGCTGGCTTCCTCGGACGGCACGACAGCATGCACAATCTGGAACAACGAAGACCAAGCAAGCAGCTACCACCCGGCCATCAGCAACGCCTCGTCACGTCCGGCAGACTCGTCACTCAAGCAATTGATCCTCGGCCAAGTGTGGAGGGCCCCATCGTCATCAACAGCCGCTTACCCGCCCACTATAAACCAGCCGACGCAGCCGATGTCGCTCTGTGGGCTCGGTGGCTGTGCCACAACGCAGACCACTAATCCGTTCAACTTTTTCGTGCAGATGTTCTCCTTCATTCTCCTCCGCGCTTTGCTCCCGGTGCTGGCTTCCTCGGACGGCACGACAGCATGCACAATCTGGAACAACGAAGACCAAGCAAGCAGCTACCACCCGGCCATCAGCAACGCCTCGTCACGTCCGGCAGACTCGTCACTCAAGCAATTGATCCTCGGCCAAGTGTGGAGGGCCCCATCGTCATCAACAGCCGCTTACCCGCCCACTATAAACCAGCCGACGCAGCCGATGTCGCTCTGTGGGCTCGGTGGCTGTGCCACAACGCAGACCACTAATCCGTTCAACTTTTTCGTGCAGGTTAGTAAATCGTGCAGTCTTTTCTCTAAAAAAACAAGTAACTACTTTTTGATACAGCTGCCGAGCCCGCAGTGTTGCGTTGTCATTTCGATTGAGTGCTTCCATGTCATCCGTTCCTTGCTGTTGCAATCGGGGGACATCGAAACTAATCCTGGTCCTGATACTAACGCCATACTAGCCGAGCTAAAAAAACTATCCACCGGTCAATCGAAATTACTTGCAGAGGTACAAGACCTTAAAACCCAGCTATTAACAACAGATAAAGCGATATCAGATTTAAGCGGGCGCATGACTGCGCTCGAAAACCATTATCAAAATCTCGCCCCCGTGCGCACCGAATTAGAAAATGTAAAAATCGAGACGGCTCAGACGGCCCGTTTGGTCTGTGGCTTGGAGGCACGCTTCGACGATGCCGAAAATCATTCTCGACGCAACAACCTCATTTTCTATGGCATCCCTAACTCCACTGGACCAGAAACGTTTGCCCAATCAGAACAGCTCGTCATCCGGCACTGTCGTGATCACTTGAACATAACCATAGACCCCAAAGAAATAGAGCGTGCACATCGTCTTGGACATCACACATCTGACCGCCCTCGCCCAGTAATCGTTAAATTCACGTTCTATAAGACAAAAGACACCATACTATCTAATGGCCGCAAGTTCAAAGGAACAAGTTTCAGTGTTGGCGAAGACTTTTCTCGGCCCGTCCAAAATGCTCGCAAACACCTACTTGCGTTTGCAAAAAGCAAAAATACGCCGTTTTCTTTACGGTTTAAAACACTACTTATGGGCCCGAAACGCTATATTTTTGATGAACCATCACAGACAGTAAGGGAAACAGCATAGCAATTGCCCCGTCAGAAGAAAATAACAGCCCCCTCTCGGAATTCTACCAAAACTAATCTTTCATTTTCCGTAATCTTCACCAACGCGCGAAGCTTTCTTCCGAAACGAGAAATTTTGTCTAATCTCGTGTTGTCCTCTTGTAGTAATTTGTTGATATTAACCGAAACCTGGCTGTCTAAAGAAATCACTGATGCTGAAGTTCTGGCCGATTTGCCGGACTTCCGCCTTTATAGAAATGACCGCCAAGCCACACGAGGAGGAGGTGTTCTCATCGCCGTACACCAGCAGTTGTCATGTTCTATTGTTAACATTACATCCGACCTTGAAATACTATGGATCATATGTCGCGCTTCACCTCAGACGGTTCTTTTGGGAGTCTGCTACAGGCCTCCCCATTCTTCTCCTGACTTTTCTTGTAAACTTAATAACATCTTTAGTGAATTCGCCTTAACGTACCCGAATGCGCATATCCTTCTCTTTGGAGACTTTAACTACCCGCAAATAGACTGGAGCAACCAGATCCCCTCAGCTATAGGCAATGAAGCCGCAAAAGATTTTATTAACGTATGTCTTGATTTTAACCTTGTTCAACTAGTATCCGAACCCACACGTGTTTCACGGGATTCTGCAAACATCCTAGATCTAATACTAACCAGTCATCCCGAAAGCCTATCATCGGCTACTTATCTCCGCGAAATCAGCGACCACAAAGTAATCCATGCTACCTTCAACTTTTGCCCGGTACGACACCAAACAAGCGATAAAAGAATTCGTCTATATGATAAGGGAAATTATGAAGTAATAAACAATGAGCTAAACGCCTTTCTTCCAATTTTTGAAGCATCATTTTCTAATCGCTCTATTAATACAAACTGGATAATGTTCAGAAATAAATTAAATGAACTTGCAAATAAATTCATCCCACTAATTACGTTCCGTGAGAATCGACAGAAACCCTGGTTTACAAAGTCTTTGAAAAAACTAGGTAACAAAAAAAAACGTCTTTTCCGCTCGGCCAAGCGGAATGGAAACCCCTGCGCATGGGAAAAATACTACGCAGCTGAAGACTCCTATCTGGCATCTATACGTAACGCAAAGCATTCCTTTTTTTATGATGACTTACCAAAGATCTTAATTAACAATCCTAAAAAATTTTGGCAAGTTATAAATCCCCAAGAGACGCGCATCATTAGCCTGACGAACGGAGCGGGCGAAATAGTCACTGACACCGAGTGCGCCAACGCTTTTAACTCCGCCTTCTTTTCCGTGTTCACCGAAGAAACCGATGTCCCTCCCTCTTTAATACCTTCTAACGCAGTATCTACTATGCCAGCTCTCACATTCTCTGTAGATGGCATCTCATCATTAATTGAAAATATCAAACTCTCATCGTCAGCCGGCGTTGACGGAATTAACTCAAAACTTTTAAAAAATACCAAACGTGTATCTGCTGTGTACATGACCATGTTGTTTTCACAATCACTTTCTACAGGCATCTTACCGGACGACTGGAAGGTGGGAAGGGTCGTTCCGGTCTACAAATCGGGTAACAAGGACTCCCCACTAAATTACCGTCCCATCTCTTTAACAAGCGTCCCCTGCAAAGCCATGGAACACGTCATCTACACTCATATAATTAATTTCCTAGACTCTATAGACTTTTTCCACCCCTCCCAGCACGGTTTTCGTAAGGGCTTCTCTTGCGAAACTCAGCTTGCACTCTTCGTTCATGACTTGCATTTTAATCTTGACCATAACCTTCAAACCGACGCTGTTTTTTTAGATTTTGCCAAAGCATTCGACAAAGTACCGCACCAGCGCCTCCTACTAAAACTTTCCCAATTAAATCTAAACACTGCTATTGTTCAATGGGTCCAGGAATTTCTGTCTAATCGGTCTCAGTTTGTCTTTGTTAACAACCACTCATCTAACCCTCTCCCAGTAACATCAGGCGTCCCACAAGGATCTGTCCTCGGCCCGCTCCTGTTCTTAATATACATAAATGACTTACCATCGCATCTGTCATGCCGCATTCGTATGTTTGCGGATGACTGCGTTATTTATCGTACAATCACTAACAGCTCCGACCAATCATGCCTGCAGAATGACCTTAACCATGTGCAAGAATGGTGCGACTATTGGCAAATGACCCTTAATCCCAGCAAATGTAAACTTGTATCATTCCATCGTCGCCGTAACCCCTTTCTTTTTACTTATACAATTGCTAGCGTCACCGTCGAATCTGTAGAATCATTTAAATACCTAGGTGTAACACTGTCGAACGATTTATCTTGGCGCGCGCATACCACCAACGTCATATCAGCCGCAAACAGAGTCCTTGGATTTCTAAAACGTAATCTACGCCATGCCCCGAAGCACGTACGTTTACTTGCGTACAAATCACTTGTTAGATCAAAACTCGAATACGCATCTGCCATCTGGAACCCTCACCAAGCATATATTACTAACGAACTTGAATCTGTTCAAAATCGATCCACTAGGTTCATTCATTCTGCCTACTCATACGATATCAGCGTTTCATCCTTAAAAGCAGAATGCGGCCTAACACCTCTCTCTCTTCGCCGTCGCACTTCCAGCCTCTCCCTCTTTCACAAGTTTTACTACAGCTCGCTCAACCATGCACCTTACATTGTGCCCCCATCACGCATATCTCTGCGCATTGGTCATCCACTTCAAGTAACACTCCCACGTGCCCGCACTACTACTTTTTTAGCCTCCTTTTTTTCTCAAGCAGCTGCAGACTGGAACGGCCTTCCCCACCACGTCGCCGCCATCACATGTCCGTCCGTATTCATGGAGACTGTCGTCAACCACCTTCCGACATGAATGTCTGTTAAAAATGCTTTTATGTGTAACCCACCCCTTATGTAATACCCCTAACGGGGTCTTTAAGGTAATAAAATGAAATGAAATGAAATGAAATCTTATGGAAGACTCTAATAACAGGTCTTATAATGCATATTTGTTTGTTTCAGGGACACTTCGATATATTCTTCATGGAAGCCCTGCACAGGACCGCACCCACACGGGCGTTGTTAAGGACACCAAGGCAGCCTTCCGTCAAGGCCAGCCAGTCAATGGCATCAAGGGCCCCTCGGTGCTCCTTCCTCTGAAGGGATTCGACCTCGTGTGGTGCCTGCCCCCGGACTACATGCACTGCGTCCTGGAGGGCGTCACAAAGCAGTTAACAGAACTGTGGCTGAGTGCAACTGGGGCTCCGTACTACATTGGAGGTGCAATAGATACATTGAACTCTCGCATCCTTCAGATACGGCCTCCCATCTCATTCTGTAGGTTGCCCCGGCCTATAAGTGAGAGAGCTCATTGGAAAGCCAATGAGTGGCAATACTGGTTATTATTCTACTCCCTGCCTTGCCTTAATAACATCCTGCCAGCTCGGTATCTCCATCATTATTCATTGCTGTGCCAAGCAATGTTTTTATTGCTTGGCACTAGAGTGACGGATGCTCATGTTGCAGAGGCAGAGAAACTTCTTCTCAGGTTTGTAGAACGGATTGTTCGACTGTATGGCCAATCTGCAGCCACATTTAATGTACACCAGCTTCTTCATCTTTCCAAATCTGTAGAGATGCTGGGCCCATTGTGGGGATTTTCGACATTCCCCTTTGAAAACGGAAATGGACATCTGTTGGGGCACGTCACTGCTGCGCAGGGTGTACCTCAGCAGATTGCAGAGCGCTGCATCATGCAGTCATTCTTGACAGTAGCGAAGCGTCTGGTGCATCTTTCAGACTCCCTCACTCAGAGGTGCCAGAAAATGACTCAGATTCTTCACAAGCCCGAGCTTGGTGTGCATCTGCTAGGTGCCCCCAGAGCACCTAGGTTGAGGGAGTCTGTGGAGCAAATGTTGTTCCAAAAGTATGGGGCTCTACCTCAGATATCTGCATATGACCGCCTCTCTGTAGACACGGTTGTTTTTCATACAGCTAGCTATGCCCGCCCACAAAAAACTTGTTCAGCATACCTTAAGATGATGGATGGTAACTATTGTGTGTTAGAAAGTATCCTCTCGTTTTCTTTTCCAGTAAAGAGAATTGTGCTAGTCTGTCAGGAATTAGTCATGTCAAATTGTGGTTTTGGGGAAGTTAGGTACACCCAAAAGTGTGAGCACCCACCCCCCGATACAAATTTGTGTTCTTACCATCCTGCTGACATTGTAGATCAGTGTGTTTTCATCCAGCAGGATGGTGAAATGTACTTGTGCAGTAGACCGAACCCACATTGCCTAGACTAAACAAAAAGAAGCAAAAAAAGATTAGGAGGAACATTCAAATTTCTTTTAAAGGGCAACTCCGCTCAATTCCGAAAAATTTAGGCTTCCATGTGATTCACATTCACAAAGCACTACTAAACAACTCTACGTCTTCGGATTCGCGAAATGTGGAATATTATTTGTGTAATCCTAATTTAAACATCAGCAGATACCGAAACCGAAACTTCGGTTGCGTCAGGCAACATTGGTCTCGGGTCGTCAGAGTCATGGCACGCCACGTCGAACCACGTGGTCTTGTGACGTTCGGGAGGGAGCAAAAAACCAAGCAAGGTCTTTTTTTTTTTTTTTTTTTGGACGCGGGGGCGAGGGGCAAGGGGAGAAGACGAAAGAGGAGAAAAGGAGCAGAGAAACAGACCGATAAGCGCGCAGGGCAGCGCATCCCAGGCGCATCCGTGTTACGGTGATCACGTGAACGCCCGGTCAGCCAACACCGGGAGGAGAAACTCATGACGTCGTCGTCCAATTTCGCTCTGAGAAGTAAAAACAAGCAAAACGTGAAAATGACGTATGCATGGCTCTGACGTAGTGGCTCAACGTTGGCCGCTCCATCTTTGTGGCATTGACTGCGCTGGTGATTGCGCCTCGCGCCGCACGCTAGAGTTGGCAGATTTCGGCGACTTGGCTCGCTTGAAGGTTTGCTGGCCAGTTTATTAAATATATATACGGAATTAGATCGTAATATTTGACATGGGGTCTTCCTATATGATACTGAAGAGGGCTACATAGTTTTCTAAATATAAAAAATGAAGCGGAGTTGCCCTTTAAGAGGGAAAATGACTGAATTCCTTTTTGTAATGCAGGGCAATAACATCAAGACTAGTGCAATATTGTTTTTTTTATAAAGTAGGGAATGCTGCAATTGACATGGTTTTGCTCTGCATTATGATTTCATTCATACTGTTTATCTAAAAAACAAGTAAAAGTGTGTAGAATATTTGGTTGTAGAGAAAAATACTGCTTTGAATTTGAAAGCATTGATTATTTATGTTGCAAAGGAACTAAGACCTTGAGCAATATCCTAACGGCGGCTTTGAGAAGGAATTACCTAGGGTTTGAACCCCTTGTGCTTAAGAGCCTGAAACGAAATACCTGTGCCAAAGAGACAGTTATTTTAATTTCAAAGATGCATGTATTGATATAACGACTGATCTTAAATGCACATACGAGGACCAATTATAAAGTCTCTGCCCCTATTTTTATTAGCCAAAATAAGGTACATACAGGTAATTACAAATATACATACTATTCTACATACCTTACACTATTTTTTCACAAAGTCCCCGCACCGGTCTAGACATTTGTCCCATCGCAGCACTAAATTCGAGATGCCACTGTGGTAGAATTCGTCCGGCTCCCCGAATGCTCATTGTCATACAAGACTTCACGGCCTATTGTGGAGTCACACCACCACCACCTCACACTTCTCAAAGCGACACCTTTTCCTACACGTGGGCTGCATTTGCCTGTGGATTTCGATGGGTGTTCATCCCTCGCTCCATAGAAAACGAATCACACTTTGTTGCTCGTACGCCGTGGATGTGTGAAGCACAACTGCCATCTTCAACAACTGACAGCAGCGCTGTGCTGCAGAGCTACCAACAGGGAAGGCCGGGACGGTCCATGAAAGGTCCACCGCTGGGAATGAATATGTTGACTTCGCATTTATAGCCGTAATTTGGCTAAAAAAAAACGGGCAAAGTCTTTACGATTCACCTTTGTACGAGTATCTTAATTCACTACATAAAGCCATAATTTCTTGTAATATTCTTCTTGAGGTGAAAATTAGTATAGTGTCTGATACATTTCAGTTCTGTAGTTGTCCTAACTTGCTTGCATCTTGATAGGGTGGTTTCACTTGATGCTGACATGTGGTTTGTTTTCTCATTTTTGTTGATTCTTTTTATCATGTGGCATTGCATATCTGGTTTTTCCTTTTCAACTATGAAGCCATTGGCTGTGCACTATGGGTCGCTCTGATATATTTAAGCATGCTTTCAAATGTGAAGCCCACAAGTTTAAGTTTTTTTTTAAATTAAAAATGTCTGTTCATAACTGATTTGCAAATTTTCTAGCTATATGAATGAGTCATGGCACTTTGTTTTTGTACATAGTGTGGTAAATGAAACGGCATTGACGGGTAATATAGTTTTGACATTTATTTTATTATGTATGCTCACAATTTACACATAGGGACTGTGCAGTACTTTGGATCATACAGATGCTGCCTTGTAATTGTCACCAGAAATGTGAATAGACTTGTTACCATACTACTGGTAATCTAGCTTACATTGAGTACCTATCTGCTTCAATGATACAGGCAATCTTTTTATTCATTACTTTTTATTGCATGATTTTGCTATAGTTGATGCTCAACTAGGGAAACGACTGCAAACCTGAAGGCCACTTTATGATGAAATGACTATTAGATTGCCCAAAGTCGGGTTGTTTGAATTTTCAGCATGCTGCTTTCAACTTTTATATTTTTCAAAGTCGGCATACCGTTTTCAGTTTCTGTTCTAAACAAGTTTTCGTGTCTGCTTTTTTTTTTGTGAGCATTTGGGAACATATAAGCTTATCATTTTGTTTTTCGTGAATGTCGCCCGGCATCATAAAACCCAAGAGGGAGGCAAAAGAGGACTGACAGATCTTGTTATTCTGTTGTCCTCCTTTCTTGCCCCGCCTAAGGTTTTAGTCTGCCGAACAACCAGCTTGCTTGCCTAATAGCTTTGTCTTCGAATATGTCGCTATCTCCATTTATTTCAACACTATATTGTATTCATCTTGATTGTTCTTTTGTGTGCTGTGGGTGACTACTAATTGATTGGGCTCAAACATTACAACAGATGTAAATAAAAATGAGATATTTTTGTTAGACATGTGTCTACTAGTTATTATTTACTTTTTTTATTTATTTATTTTATTTGCAGAAACAACCTGCAGCATCGAAGCATTATAGCAGGGAAACACAAAATAAAACACATGCTCACGAATATAAATACAATGGCAAAAATACTGTAAATACTGTTAAATAAAAGAACACATACAAACTCTTGAATGTTTTTTCTATAAAACATGGTAGAAAAAACAATGCACCTACAAGCCCAGACGAGTGAGATATCCTATCGGGTAGCATCTTATGTCTCACTGATGGCGCAATCACTTTGTCTAATTATAATTGATACACACATACTTGCACAAGTTTCCTTCGGAAATGTGCGTCCATTCTCTGTTTATCACCCTGATTTTAAAGAAAAAGACACCCTCTCGATGTTCATACTTTAGGCTGGTAAGTTGAGGAGACACAGGGCTGCAGTAGCTAACATCGGCCAGTCAATCTCATGGGAGTGCTGAAAGACAACTGACGCCACATTTTCAAGCACTGTGTATCTTGAGTATTCGCTAAACTCGGCTGTAAAGCTCGAATCGAGTCACCGTTCTCAAAGTGCTGATCCCACCGGTCTAAAAAACACTCACCTTTTCCGGTTACTGCTGAGTTTTGAATAATGATTTCAGCATACTTCTATGAAAATACTTAGACGCGTCTTCTTTCAACCCAAAACGGGGCATGAGAAAAGAAAAAAAAGGGGACAAAACACTTTTTTTTTCGGTTTAAACACTAAACGCGATTACATATATATGATTGCATGTGCTTTATTTCCCTGCGAGTTTGCATTACAACAAATTAATTTCATATGTATGCTAACTAAATTCCGAGTGATTCTTTTCCATAGCTTTAATGCATACGGCTCGTATATCACAAACGGAGAATTAAGATAAATGTTGGTGAACATGCGTGGAGTTATTAAAAATAAAAGAGACCCCAAGGACGAAATGTACATATCACATCGTAAACGGCATGCTCGTCACATTTTAAAGTAGTGCCCTAAGCCCGGAAGTAAGTTCGAACGTCGCTTCATAGACTGACACTTCCACGCTTTATCGGCCTACCGTTTCGTCGGCGCGAGATTCATCGACAGCTTCTTTTTCGCGACATAGCCTGAAATCGCCTATTTTGTAGCATATGCCAAGATGCGCAGCCTCCTGGACTTCGGGCTGCTTATTCAGCGAGGCGGTGGCGCATTCCCCCGATTATTTAACCTTCGAGCGAAGTAAAGCAAAGCAATGGCCGCGCGGTCTGTTTGGAAGCCGAACTTAATTGCCGCCGCGACCGTCCGATGCGCACTACAACGGTCGCGGGGCTCGGGGATGCGGTGTCGATAAAACAAAGTGTCGGCGGAAAGTCTACCGACTTTTCGTTGGTAATGAAAGGCGTGATGAAGCATATGCGAAACGATGAACCCTGCCGTAAGTACGGGTTTCCACGGTGCGTATGATTGATTGCAGACGAACGTACAGTTGCCGGTGAATCGGGGGCACGTACGTGTGTAAAGAGAAATCGCGCGTGACATATTAGTTGTGTCAGCACGCGAACCCGCGACTCATCAGATGCTGGCAAATATGTCACGACCCATATTATATCAAATGCTATATTAAACGCCTCTGACGGCGCCGTCAGAATACCGCGAGCAA